TACAGTGCCAACAGTGGGCGACACTAGTTAACCGTTTTGTTCTAAATTTGACAGAAAAAGGTGGAGCGGTTCAACATGGCGGACTCCTCCAGAAGAGGACCCGCTCCCTCTGTAGATAAAAACAGCTCACTAATGAAAAACACAGTGATTCTTATATTAAGGTGATTAAACACTAATGTAAACATACATATGAATATTATGTTACAGTAATGTCACACACTGGAGCTTTAAATATTAGTTTTGCATTTGCAGAGCCTCGGGTGGTTTTTGGGACTTCAACTGTTGCTGCTCAAGAAGAAGCCTGAATTCAGCACAGAGCAAAAGCTGCAAATATTGTGAATAAACTCAAATCAAAACACACAAAAAATCTGACAAAACCAGCAGACACTCATTATTTTTCATTAAAAAACAAATGAAAAAGAGAAAACAAACAGGAACTTAAACTCAGTGATACTGATAATTCAAAATAAGAAGCTAGTGAACATACCGAAGAGAATAAAGAGGCAGTGGGGCGTAACTCTCTTTAAAGACAGCAGAGAAGGCAGCGGAGGGACAGGACAGGTAAAGGTGGGAGGGCAGGACAGGTGGAGGTGTCCGAGGCGTTTCCATGGCAACAAATTAAAAAAAAAAAAAGGGGAAAAAAAAGACAGGTGAGGGGTCAATCAGGAGGTTAATTACCTTAGGAGAGGAGGGGTCAGAGCATGTCAATATGAGGAGAACATGTTCACATGACTGGACAGGTAGGAGTGTGTGTGTGTGTGTGTGTGTGTCTGTATGTCTCTGTGTGTGTGTGTGAGAGTGTGTGTGTGTCTCTGTCTGTGTGAGTGTGTCTCTGTGTGCGTGTCTCTGTGTGCGTGTGTGTGTGTGTCTCTGTGTGCGTGTGTGTCTCTGTGTGCGTGTGTGTGTGTGTGTGTAGATTATCTGCTCGCTCCGCCGGCGGCAGACAGCGACGGGGAGAGCGACGGGTCGGACCGGGTCCCCGTGCCCAGCTTCCAGAACTCGTTCAGCCAGGCCATTGAGAAAGCACTTCTGCAGCTGGACAACGGCGCTGCTTCTCCTCCACAACCCGTGGTTGAACCAGGTCGGTGTGCAGTAGGGATCAATACTCATATCGATTATTGGTAACCAGAGAAACCCATAACAGAGATTTGGAAGAGATTTGCAGTTTAAAATGTATAAATAGATGGATCAATAGTAGTAAAGTAGTTTTAAGGTTCATTTATTTGATAACTTTGCAGATTATTAATACAAATATAAATCAACTAATTATTATTATTATTATTATTATTATAGATTAAAGTGATGAACACATTAATGCTTCAATAATTATAATCCAGTCATTTATTATCATTCTGCACTTTAACTTGAATTCAGGAGTTTTACTGGTAACTTTTAAAGATCTTAAAGTACTTTAAACAATTTAATTTCAATTTAATTAAATCAATCAAATACTTTATTGATCCTTTGAGGGAAAATGTTAAAGTTGCTCCCATTTTTACAATAAAAATATATCTAAACAAAGAGAAATGATAAGAACATAGAAAATAAGAAATAAGAAGTTTGTAAAAATATGTGCATTAATACAATATATAGAAATAATAGAGGGTAAGTATGAATCGAATACAATAAAAGGAATATTAAATATTCTATAAGTGTAGTCGTATAAATAAACTGTTAACTAATATTTAGTTGAAGTGAAAAAAAGGACTTTTATAAATTCTCTTAAACAGTTATTATTATTATTATTATTATTACTGGTGACGTTCTGTGGGCGGGACTTCAGAGCGGCTGCATCAGAGACAAAGCAGCACATATTTAAGTGAATTTATTTCAGATAGAAATAATAAAATAACACCAATATTTGTAATAATGCGTCTGTCTCTTGTTGTCTTTGTGTCTTTCAGACGAGAAAGGAGGGAAGAAGAAAAAGAAGAAGCAGAAACTTCTGTTCAGCACGTCGATGGTTCACACGAAGTAGACGACACTGAAGTTCATTTACTCTGAGTGTTTTTCTTGAGTTGATATTCATAAATGATTCCCACTGCTTGTTTTAACTTCATGCAGATCTTCCCTGAAGCCATGAGCTATGGAAACAGGTTTAATCAGCAGCCAGAGGTTTGATTTGCATTCATTATTATTTGTCGTACAAAGGTCAAAGCTCGACAGCAGCGTCCTGTCTGTCACACTGAAAAGCCTTATGGGTAACATTTTGTCCAGATGCAAAGAAAAAACACGGAATATAACGAACGTAGATACAGAAAACGTAGATTCTGTGTTTGACGTGTGCGCGCTCGCTTTATGGCGGAGGTCAGATCAGATACAAAACCGACTAACTCTTCATTCTGAGCTGATTTTCATGATATTTAGTCTGTTTATAGATGTGAGGAATTGAACCTGATGGTTACTGGAATTATTTAATAGGATTTAATTCCGCCACCACTTGGAAAAATGCTTCAGGCGTTAATGGATTAAATATTCACAACAAAAAACAGCCGCTGCTACTCAGAGCAGCACTTCTTCCAAAATACAGGATGAATACAATGAAAACATTAATGTTAGTGTGTTTGAGCTGCTGCATAAAGTCTCAACACATGGAACAAATTACTGTCCAACAGGAAACTAACAATAAAAACTGTTCTCTTGTGTTAAATTATGTTTTCCTGTAGATAAAGTTCACAAAAACAAACAGGCGGCTTTATAACAATATAATGAATATAAAATCTACATTTTTAGAGTAACAAAAGGTAAAATTTTAAATAATTTACACTTGCTGTTTATAGATAGAAGCCTACATGTCCCATCAGCTCCTCTTCTTTATAACCTTTATAACAAACCAAATTTCATGACAATCTGTTCAGAATTGAGCGAGTTAGTCGTTTTTTTAAGTGAACTTTACGTCTCTGTGTTGTTAACTTTACCTGACCTCTGCAGTCCGGCGACCACACATTCAGCAGCGACCAGTGAGTCATCTACATTTCTTACATCGATGATAACAAGCTCCTGGCTCCGCGTACGCTTCAGATCCCACTTTCTCCCGGAGCGGACGGAGCGCTGCAGCCGTGAGTAGTTTGGATAAGATGATCGTATGGTGCTTTATATTAGAGTAGCAGTCAGCCAGCTGCAGATACGTCGCACCTTTTAAATCTTTCCAGGATACTCGGACATCAATCGGGAACTTCAACCTCAGAACGGAAGGAAACAATAACATCTGTGTCCGTACGGAAGTGTTTTCTAACAACACGAGTACGTAACGTTCTTGGTGAGGAAGTGAACACTCAGTATTGTATAATAGAGATTTCTCCAACCGTATATTCAGCCTGGTTCAACCAAACATCTGCACTTTCTTCTCATTCAGTCTCTCCTCTGTGTCATCTTCTGTTGTAGAGTGTTATCTAACCTTTAACATGAACTCAGTTTAACTTCAGTGTTGGAAGTGTGTGAGGAATTGCTGCCGTTTAAAGGAATGTTTTGAAACCTGAAGAAAACTTTAAAAATGTGTTTTTGTTGGAGGGTTCTTTAATTCACCTTTTATTTTGAGCAAGTTTATAGACTAGTGAACTTTACTAGTCTGTTGAAATGAATAAACAATTATGCACAATCAATGAAGTGAGTGTTTGATGCTGTGGTGTAAACGAGAGTTGCTCTATAGGGCTTTTATTTTGAAAGAACAGCCTCATCTTCAGTGAAAACCCTTTAAAGTAGAACTCGATCAAGACGCCTTCAGAAACTGTAGGTCGTGTTGTTGAAATAATGTGACCAGCAGCATCCTGAGACTCTGCTGAACACGCACACACTGTTATTTGTGTGGATAAAGGTACAGATGTGATTATTACAGCTTTCTCTTCACTTGTTTTGCTCTCTGTTAATATTGGAGCTTCTGGGACTGTTGGTTGTCTCAGAGTGTTTAAAGTTTAACAGATTTTCCTTCATATCCTTTGTACTTTTTTTGTCTGTAGAAGTAAAATAAAGATTAAATTGCATTCAAGGGCTTAAAAAGTCTGAAATTGAACCTGTTGAAAGCTGCAGAAACTCTGTCAAACACCTCGGGACTCCCACTAGGGGTCGCCAAAGCTTCACAGGGGTTTTTAATGTGTAATAAAACTTTAAAAATATACACAGGAGGCCTGTATCTCTGCATTAAGTTCACTTCTGTGAGGAATAATAAATATGAAGTAAATGTCTAATATAACAATGGCGTCAGGGAGAAAAGAAACTTATTAAGTCTGTTTGATTTTTAAAAAAATACACAATACAGACAGAATTGTATAAGAAGTTCCTTAAATAGGAAATAATCTGCTTAAAATTCATAAAATCACTGGTTTTACTCAAACTTCCTGCAGTTACTGAGTTCATTATTTGAGTTAATTGTTCAGTTTTGAATATAATATGAAATAAACATTAAATATGTCACTTAATCAGGTTGTTAGTTGATTAAATGATAGAAAAAGGCTCCATAAGGGAACATGTTGGGAACCAGACCAGGCTGCTGCCATAATCACTTGTGTCCACATGGTGGCGCTCTGCACCTGCCTGCTGTCTACAATAGTTAAATCCATTCATTATAAAGTTTTCTCAACCAGAGTTAAAGTTTTAAACATTAACAGGCTGGTTAACAGACCAGCAGCAGACTAATAAAATAAATGAAGGTGTTTAAACACATTAATTATATGTGTTTGTTACTTTATATGATCATTAATCTCTTTATTCAGACAAACTTTAACTAAAGTTTTATATTCTGTATAATTTGTTTGTGTATATAAAAGTTGTTTGAAAGCTGCAGAGTTTATATTTTCACCTGATAAACTGTAATTAATCTGTGTAGCTGTGATGGGATAATCCCATTAACAGATTCATCAAGTTCCCAACATTAAGATCAACATCAGACCGGAAGTCAGGCGGATTTACCTTTAAAATAAAAGCACCGACCTGTAGATTAAAACTGACTCATAATCCGACTTTAGTTTACACATTAAAGTGAAACTGCAGCCAGAAAATAAAGATAATACATTCTTTATGTACTGGTCAGTTTTTATATTTTTGTCTCCCTGTTTTCAGATCAGTGCAAAGATAATAAATAAATACATAAATTCTACATACAAATACACATTTATGTCTTTATTTTACTACATTTTGTCTGTAGATTTCTCCAAGAGTTAACATTAGATAATGCCTCATTTGCATATTTATATCTATATAACTTGTAATATATGTAAATATAAATAAAATACAAGGCAACTTCAGAGTTTCATGGTGATATATTTATGTTAATTACATTTTTAAAAATCCTACTTAACTGTAGTGTTTTATATATATTTATAAATCATATTATATATATTAATATAGACCTGACGTGTACTGTGCAGTTTTATATATATCTATATATATTTACACAGTACAATCTCTATATATCCTTATATTTATAGCGTATTATGTACTATATTATATTGCCCTTATATTTATACTTTATTATATGATTATATTATGTAACTATATATATTTTTACACATTTTTATGCAGATTTTTATTTAAAAAAAAAGTTTTATAGTAAATAATTTATAAAATAAAATTAAACACAGAAACACGAGTCATAGAAAAATAAAAGTATATACATAGAGGTATAAAAAATAAATAAATATATATATATGTGTGTATTTATAT